GTGATGGACTCGAAAACAACACTGACAGGGGGCAGGGAAAACAAAAAAAATTGAAAAAAAAAAAAAAAAAAGGAGGTGAAAGGGCAAGAATCCATTACTTGTTTCGAAAACACCTCCGTAATTATTTACTCGCATCCACTCTTAAATTCCATCATTCTCCTTTCCGACTGACCCTCATTCTTGTTTCTGACCGAGCAAAATGTCACCAAGCCTGTCTAGAATTTCCTACCAGGAAAGCATGATCATCTTAGGAATTTTTGTGGCAAAGCAAGTTTAATTTTTTCAATGAAAAGTTTTAATATTTTTGAAGTGAGACAAAAATTGGAAACCTTAGAATGAACTGCATAAACCCTATCCGCTCCGAGCGGAACAAAAGAGGGCGTTTTGAAATGAAATCGACGGTCCTTTTGGTACCAACTCATCACATAGGCACACGAGTATATGCTCATTTGACACGGAGCACACTGAGCACGTGCAACAAATTTATTCCGGAATGTATAGTCTTTGTGTACACGCAGAACGCATGCAAGAACCCGCTTGTAAACACCTGTCTTTTTTTGTGCCAATTGACTGTTTCTTAGGTTCATTTCCAACGAGTGCATCACCCCCTCCACCATGGAAATTTCACCCCTCCCCCTAACAAAAGGAGGACTGTCCCCCTGGCGCTCCCAAAACACAATACTGCTGGCATCCGTGCCTAGTTATCATTCACCTGTTTGCACCAACTTTTCTCTGGTGTTCTTCACCGCTTCAATGCCGCCAGCCGTGGGCTCTTCAACCTGGGGAACATCGCTCTTGGCGAATTCTGCCCAGCTGCCGGTCTCGTCCTCCACCTGTAAACAAAACAGTAACAAACTGGATTCCAAGTCGGCGCTGAGCTGCGGAGGTTATTCAGGTCGACGAATGTCTTGCATTGAGGCTTTACATGGTGGCCATCTTGCAGGGCATTTCCTTGGCCCCGCAGGAAAACATCCTTGGAGCATTCCCTGTGGAACAAAAAGCGCTGGCCTGCAAGATGGCAGCCATGCAAACCCTCTATTGAAATGACCGAGAACGTCCGCCTCCTTGATGCTTCATTATCAGAAGTCGCTCAACTGGCCGAGTTGTAGTCGAGCACTGTCTGAGCCCTTCTGGTATGAATTCTGAGAGCAATGATTAGAATAATTTTGTAAAGTGACAGACTGAATGCTCTATTCCATGAGGTGAAGCTGAGTGGAATAGCACACTCACTCGGTCACCAAATGAAATTAATCCTTCCATTGAAATATTTATTAACTCTCCTATGCTGAAGTCACTCTTTGGGTCACTTGGTGAACACCTCCAAGAAGCACAGCTGTGTCGTGCTGTGCACTGCACCAACTGTCCCTCACAGGAATATCAGATTGCGCTTTTGTGCTGCCCAGCAAACTGTGCTTCACTGTTTCATGTGCATCATTGTGCAGTAAANTACAGAAAATACATGCTCACCAGTGACTGTGGGCATTTGTGCACATTTGTGCTGTAAAACCAAAGGAGGGTTAAGCTTTTCATATAATGCCTGAATAAATCATTGGGTAAAACTTTACACAAAAGTTGATGTTCTGCTTTGTAAAAATGCAACATATCTTCAGGTTCTGCCTTAGTGCATTATAAGCAGACAATCCTGTGTCCCTGTCGTAAGTATTTTTCTGATCCTTCAATAAGCTTTCTGGTGTTTTTTACATGAGCACAATTATTACTTGTGAGTTCTGAAATTTCTTGTATGAAGAAAGACAAGAAAGGATATCATGGTGCTTCACATTGATCGCTATCAATCAAAATTTTGTGCAAAATGAAATGACATTTTAATTCATCAGTTAAACTCGTGGTCATGCCATGCTTTATTCCACATAACTTATGTCACATGATCTTGCGATTTGTGATGGACTTACAGGGACTTGTGATGGATTCGAACACAACACTGCGCAAGGCCAATCTGTTTCCAAGCATAGTCAGGTGGTGGTATTTCTCACTGATTCTGCGCTAGTTTCTACGAGTGCATATGCTGTTGTTGTTGTTGTTGTTTAGTTTTAATGACGCTTTCAGCAACTCAGGCCATTTGCGCCAATAACTGTACGTTTATTCATACACTTTATTAATCAGCATCTCATTACAGAGTTAGGAAGAAGGTCCAGTTTTAGAGGCAGGAGGAAACC